AAGAAAGAAAAGGATGGATGTTGGTTAGGGTGCATCAAAAAACACAATTCTTGAATTTTGATATGGCTGGGTGCTAAAAGTGTTCCAATATATGTAGAAACAACACATGCAAAATATTTTTCCAATACATGATGATTTAGGGGTGCCACCGCACATCTGTTTTTGTTGGATAAAGTGGTAAACAGTGCTCAATGGGCGCCATGGAGATCTGAGGTAAACAAGACTGCAGTTCAAGAAAACTGAGGTGATCTTTCTGTTTTTGTGTTGGGTATGTATTATTACATATTACTGTCATATCTGTAGTTGTGTCTTTGTATACTTAAGTCATATTTATACAGGTATGTGGTGCTCATTACATCTAGCTAACAATCTAACAATCTAACAATCTAGCTAGCAATAGTTTGCTAACCACAGTTAGCTATCTATGTTAGCTAAGCTATTAAGCTTAACATCAACAGTAGCAGCTATTCTAGAGTGGACAATGTCATATTCAGAGTATTGATGTCTCATGTTTATTGAGACGTAGCATTGTAGTTGTTACAGTAAATTAACATTTTAAATATAAGTATATTTGCGAGCACAGCTAGCTACTCTGGTAGTAACGGTAAGTTATGTTGAAGTTAGACTATGTACAGCTAAAATGTGAGGCTTATGCAAGCATGGGTTATCATAATTGAGTGATATTAAGTATGCCAAGATATGATTTTAAAATCTATCCTTGTCCTTGTATTAAATTAACATTTTAAACATAGGTATATTTTCAAGCACAGCTAGCTACTCTGGTAGTGATGTAAGAGTAAGTTATCATTGTAATGATAAAGTTGGACGATGTACAGCTAAAATACAGCATGGTTTATCCTAATTGAGTGATATTAAGTATGCTAAGATATGATTTTAAACACTATCCTTGAGCTTGTGTCCTTTTCATTCCCAGGCACTGCACAACACAACCTACCCCAGGATCCAGCTCTCCTAAGATGCTGCCCTCACCAACTGGTCCCTGCCAGACTAGCAGTCGCAGCCTGGTCTTTGGTCTGGGCCCCAGCATCACCAGTGAGGATGGCATCATCACCGGCGCCAAAACTGCCAACTGGTCGTCAGATCTTACGCTGCATGCTTGCCAAGAAACCTGGTGCAAACGGAGCGTTGTCGCAGTTCGAGGCAACCAAGGGTGTCCTGGAGCAGGTGCGGCTATTTTACAAGAAAGCCAACATCCCAATGGTGAGCGACAAGCGGGCCTGCCACAAGATGGTAGACTTAGTCAATGCTAACAACAAGCTGCGGAAAATCTCCCAGGCCAAGCGCTCCAGTGAGACTACAGCGAAACAATTGGAGAAAATGGAGTGCAGACTTGATGCCACATTTCCGCTGTGGCCTCCAAATGTTGAAAAGCTGATTGATAACCCAGAAGACCTAGCTTTCTTGGCCAGCATGAAGACCGACAGAGTGGCCACATTTGGTGTATTGGACGAAAAGCTGCAGCTCAAGGTGAAGCGGCGAGAGGAGCGTCAAGCTGCTGCAGCAGCCAGGCAGTCCCGCTGTGAAAAGGAGCTAGAGGAGATGACGGCAATGTCCAGCTTGGTGTCGGAGAGTGATGAGGAGCCAGAGGAGGATACTAACACAGTCTGTCCAACATCTGAGGGCGAACCATCCCACAAGCGTAAGAAGACTGGAACAAACGTCTTCATTCCACATGACATCCTTAGCCGACCAAGTGTTGTGTCACTGGCTACAAGGTTGAAGATGTCACCAACGCAACAGGCTGCCTTCACGCGTGGCCTGGTTGCAGAGTCAGGGGGTGACTGTACACATCTCTCTGCATCTTACGCAACAGCTGACCGAGCAAGACGCCAAGTGCTGGAGACAATCGGTGAGGAACGGCACAAGCAGTGGACACCACCTCCATTGTGCACCCTACACTGGGACATCAAGTTAACACCGATGCTCACCAATGTGCGCCAGTTGGAGGAGCGTCTTACAGTGGTGGTTGGAGATGCAGAGCGGCTGAAACTGCTTGGTGTCCCGGCGTATAAGAAGCAGACCAATGAGGCATGTGGAGTGATCATTGCCCGGTTGACATGCAAGTTGCTGCAGGACTGGTGCTGCGCTGACCAGGTTGTCAACATGGCATTTGACACCACTGCGTCAAACACCGGCCATCTCACAGCAGCCTGCATTGCCATACAGCTCTCACTGGGCCGACCACTGCTTTGGTCTGGGTGCCGGCACCACATTGGTGAGGTCCTCCTGAACCAGGTTTTTACAGACCTGAAGGTGGAGACATCACGCTCGCCAGAGGTTACCTTGTTCACACGTCTGAGAGAGAAATGGAACCTGTTACCACAAGAATCCAGCAGCCAATGGTCCCGTTACATTCCTGGCAACACCGAGCAACCACTCCTGGGCAAGTTACGTGCTGAACTTGTCAGGTGCGCAAAAGAAGTGACTGACCACAAGCGAGGTGACTACTGTGAGTTTGTGCAGCTGTGTCTTGTGTTTCTGGATGAAGGTGGTGAAGAGCAGACTGCAGTGACCTTCCAACGACCGGGAGCGCTCCACAAGGCACGATGGAAGGCCAAGCTGCTCTATACTCTCAAGCTGGCTTTGATGAAGCAGCACATCGCGTTGCTTCCCCAGGGCACAATTACCACACGGCAGCAGGTGCCGAAGATTCGGGCATTTGCCATTTTCATTACACACATCTATGCAAAGTGGTGGTTGACCTGCGATAAATCTGTAGATGCTGCCTGGAATGACCTGACACTCTACCACCACCTGCAGGCATACAAGGCTGTAGATGAGGGCATTGCAGCATCAGCGATCAAGGCACTGGAGAGGCATCGCTGGTACCTGACAGGTGAGATGCTACCCCTGGCTCTCTTCAGCAGCAAGGTGCCCAATGAGGACAAGCGTGCACTTGCCAGTGCGATCTTGGAGCACAAGCCCGCTGATCTCCCCATGCACATCCCTGAGCAGCGCTTTGGCACTGGCTTTGGCAAGCCAAAGTTCCCCACCCTCTTGCCAACCACCAGCTTGGCTGATCTCGCCAATAAGGATTGCTGGTTTGGGATGCACCAGCTGCACATTGATCCAGAATTTATGTCTCTCGATGTGAAGGAATGGGCGACCAATGCTGCGTTAAAAAAAAGTGAGGTCAATGTATGTGCAATGAACGTGGTCAATGACTGTGCCGAGCGTGGCGTCAAGCTCATGTCCGACTTCGTCGCAGTGGCCAGGAAGGAGCAGCACCTGCAGAATGTGCTGCAGGCAGTTGACCATGACCGCAGCCAACAGCCAAACCTTCGCCGCTGCAAGCTAATCGCAAGCTTGCGATAGGACGGTTACTCTTGGGTGGCGGGTGGGGAGACATATCTGGAGGGAGACGCACGGGCTAGGTTCAGAGTTCAGGTTCCATTTCCTCTCTCTTTCTCCCTGGTGATGTTGCTCAGTGGAGCGGACTCTGGCACAGACTGAGCAATTAAGTTTGAAGTTTAGTTAGGGTTTGTTCTTTTAAGTGTGTCAGTATCGCCCCTTGTGTTTAACAATAAAGTCAATTCAACTTTATGTGTGTCCGACATCCATCACTGCTGTACAAAACTCAGGGTAACGTGAACATGTCCCATTGAGCTCCATTAATTGTGTCTATAGGACAAATGAATGGAGAATCTTGAAAGTTGAATTCTGAGAAATGCCTAAGTTGCCCAAAGGGCAAACTAACAATTTTTACTTTGATAACCCTATAGAACATGTTACTGTATAAAAGTTCACTGTACTCAACATTTCCAGGTCAACCTTTTGGCAATTAGACTAAAAATTGCACATTTTTTGAAATTTCACAAAAGTTCATGTCTTTGGTGGCACCCCTACATCTCAATGGAATTCCTCAAAACTTTGCAAATGTCATTTTTATGTTAATTGTAACCCAATGCAATGCCAGCCAAATTGATATTTTGAAATTAAAATTTCCCATTCAAATTTGATGCACCCTAATGTTGGTTGGTTGGAGAGAGGGATGGATAGAGTGAACAATGGATGGATGGAAGAAAGGAAGGAAGGATGCTGGATGTTGGATGGTTAGATTGATGGATGGAAGGAAGTATGGGTAGATAGATAAGTAGGTAGTGGATGAAAGAATGGATGCACAGATGGATGGAAGGTGGATAGGATGATGGTTTGAGGAAGGGATGAAAGAAAGCAAGTATTAATGGATGGGTGAAGGAAAGGATAGAACAAGGGATAGTGGATAGATGAGTGGATGGATGAACGTTTGTATTAATAGATGGATGGAAGGGTGAAATGTTGTCCAGTGGAATTTGTGGACTCTAACAAACATCTAAAGTTCAAAACTGAACTTTGAAGCAAATTGTGGAGCCGTGTGCAAAAAGGGTGCAGCCCTGATGGTCTCGTTCTACCGTGCTTTTATTGAGTCCATTCTGTCTTTGTCTTTAGTGTCATGTTTTAGTAACCTATCTTTAAACAGCAGAACCTCTCTTAGTCAGATTGCTAAGTGGTTAACTTAGGTTAACTCAGTTTACACAACTCAGCTGTGGTTCCATAACCGTAAAGCAAAACTAGTAGTGGTGGTCTAATGGATAGTGAGGTGGGCTGAACATCGGAAGGCTTTGAGTTCAAATCCCGCCAGGAACACCACCACTAGTGTGCCCTTGAGTAAGGCACTTAGCCCTTAGTTACTCCAGGGAGAATGTCCCGGTAATCGGTAATTGTAAGTCGCTTTGGATAAAAGCGTCAGCTAAATGAAATGTAATGTTAATGTTGTTTTGTTTGTTCGAGTGGTTTTTAATATGCTGGATCTTCAGTACTGTTGTCCGACGATTGTTGTTTGAAACGTGTGTCACAATGGATACGGTGTCTTTTAACTGCGAACCAAATCTACCTACGAGGACGAATGAAACCCCCTGAACCTAAAAGGGTTGAAGAGTTATTGTTCTCACCTCGTGCGATCCTCAGCACCCTCATGATGCGGATGATGGTCGGGTTGATGGGCAGAGTGTTTCCATCGATCTCCTCCAGAGTGATGCCCATGATGGACAGCAGCACGATGGCCAGATCCAGCTGGTTCCACCTACACACACACACACACACACACACACACACACACACACACACACACACACACACACACACACACACACACACACACACACACACACACACACACACACACACACACACACACACACACACACACACACACACACACACACACACACACACACACACACACACACACACACACACACACACACACACACACACACCACACACACACACACACACACACACACACACACACCACACACACACACACACACACACACACACACACACACACACACACACACACACACACACACACACACACACACACACACACACACACGTTTAATAATCTGACGACAAAAATAAAAACATTTGAAATTACAATTTGGAAGCCAGGACTCTTGAGAAAGCGAAGCCAATATGTTTAGAGAAGTTAATTACCTAAAGAACGTAACAAAGCATGAGGAATACATTGCCAAAATCCACTTAACGAATAGTTAGAGGCTTTTATGCTACGAGAAATATCGATCCCACATTTAGCAGAGGTTAGCTTAGCTTAGCATACAGCCTGGAAACAGGTAGGAGATGCTAGCCAGGGTCTTTCAAAGGTAACTAGCGATTTCACGGTGACAAGATACGTGTTAAGTAGCTGTTCCCATTGTTTTCTAACTGTATGCTAAGCTAAGCTAATTATCTACCTCCTAAGGTCCTATGTTGGTGGTGTCGATCTTCCAACCTAAGAACTGTATTTCACATTTGAAACTGTTTCCTTGAGAATGTGCAATAGTTTTGGAGAATGATCTATTCTTGTAACTGTTTTGGTTTAGATTTAAGACTTTTGTCATAAATGGAAGAATGAACCTTTTACATGTCAGTGAATCCTTTTAAAACTCCCCATACTTGCTGAGCCAGAGGAACTAACAGAAGATTATCTATGACTCAATGTTGAACCATGCAGACACTAGAAGAGCTGCAGGAGAGGTTTGATAACGTCTTCATGGACATCTCCAAACGTTCTTTCTGCCGTGTCACTACATTGCAATAACAATGCCCAAATTGCAAGCTCCTTTACTGCAGTGCTTTGTAGAGGAGCGAACAAAAGCATTGTTTCTACAGCCTTTCGACACACAGTTAACTAATCACATACACGTCACATTGAGTGTTCCCGTGTTATAAGGCTGATGAAGCTGCAATGCTATCACTTAGTATTTCATAACCATCAGGATACACTCTTTTCCAGGTACTGAGATCTGAGCAATCTCATTTGTTGGAACCAAATCTTATTTTCCAACGCCCCGGACAATAAATAAATACAGCTGAACAAAATGTTTGGAACAAAAGGAGAGAATAAAAAAAGCTCATTGGAGATATGATCAGATTTGTCCAGAGTTGATCCCTTACATCTTCATTCAGATACTCAAAGTGTGTGCATCAACACAACCGACAACCCAATGAGGTATTTCAATTAGTCCGGAGAGTCTTTGGCTAATGTTGTGTTTTTGTGTAATATCAAAATTGACCGCTGCCAAATGCAAAAAAGGATAATCTGGCACTGAGAGCGGACATCATGGAGCCCTTGGTGGTCAGCGAAATGGTCCAAAAACATGATGTGTGTGTGTGTGTTGCTGATGTGTGTGTGGTGGTATACAGTTGTTGTGATTGTGGTGTGGTTATCAGCGGGAAGCCAGGGATTTCAAAGCTATGAAATCATGTGAGGCGGCGTGTTTTATGGGGGTTTAACGAGGCCGTCTGTATTCATACGAGCCTTTCTGAGAAACCATCCGAGAGAGAAAGATGATTTAAGCTCTCCCAACGATAACTCACATTTTCCACATGACTCAGAGGTTAGAGTAGGTACCTTTTAATCCCTTTTTACGTTTAGGAGGTAAATGGTTATTCGAAAATGTCCGTCTCTGCCTGCCTTATGTATCACCTTTAATTTAACTCACATTTTTTTTAGTGTTTTCAAATTTTTCTATTAGTATTTATATTAGGGCTGTCAGTCGATTCAAATAGTTAATCGCGATTAATCGCAAATTAATCGCACATTTTTTATCTGTTCTAAATGTACCTTAGAGGAATATTTTTCAAGTTTGTAATACTCTTATCAACATATGAGTGGACAAATATGCTTTATGCTAATGTTTATTATCATTTGAACAATGACAAATATTCTCATGAATATCAACAACCTGTGTGTGTGTGTGTGTGTGTGTGTGTGTGTGTGTGTGTGTGTGTGTGTGTGTGTGGGATGGATCGTTGGAGCTATGTGCAACTCAAGGCATATGCTCGAACGGGAGCTGCCTGGACGCTGCAATCATGTTGCGCACTATCCGTTGCTGAGTGTGCTGACTTTTCGTACAATGTCCCACTGTCTGGCTTCCTGCATAAAGTCAAGTGCTCGGCGCAGTTGTGGCGAAATGTCGCTCCTCTGTTTTCATTGAAACAGCTCCTTAGATCCGTTAGCGCAGCTAGCTAGCACCAGATGCTAACAACAACAATGCACGTAAGGTCTCTCTCTCGCTCGGGCCACACATACACACACCCTCCCGGTCCTCCAGATGGCCAGTCGGTGCCTGCCGGTGAGCGTGGAAGTGTGGTCTGCTACAAGCGGGCGACAGGAGCGGGGCTGTCAGCATCAGCTTGTAGATGGTATTTTAAACTCGATGCGCTCTGAAACTACGGGGCGGCCGAGGACAAAAAATACACATGCGTTAAAATAATTAGTGGCGTTATTAACGCGTTAACTTGACAGCCCTAATTTATATATACTTTTTCTTTTTAAGGTACATGATAAGGCATGTTTTTTCTGAATTATACTGTATGTAAAAAATAAGTTTGTAATTGAAGAAAGTACATGTATGGACAACCTCCTAGATCAGTGTTTCTCAAACTTTTTCACACCAAGGATAACCAATAAAAAAACACTCGCGGACCACCTAACTCCACAAATATCCAAAATCACATCGTTTTTCTAGAACAGATTACAAATCGCCTGAAAATGGTACAAACAAGTGGCAACATGTGTGATGAAGGTGTTGTGCGGGGCTATATCATGCAATCGAAAGTGAAACTTAACCTCGCTCCATTGTGGAGATATTCCCGCGAGACTGCGGGAAAGTTCAAATTAATTAATTTCAAATGTGAAATGTTACCAATATCCTCACGGACCACTAGGGGGCGCTCACATCCCACCAGTGGTCCGCGGACCACACTTTGAGAAGCACTGGTCTCGATCAATAAATAATACAACAAAAACGTAAAAGGATCGTGGCAGTAATTGAAATACTCACTTGTCTTTAAAGAAGCGTCTGAACCCAAACGCCACCAGCTTGAAGACGGCTTCCAGAACGAAGATGAGGGTGAAGATGTAGTTACAGATCGTCAGCGCCTGCTCCAACTCCTGAGGAACGGACAGGGATACAAATATGAAAGATTAAGCATCCCTTTTAAAGTCAGTACACCCAGCATTACACTTCCTGTTGTCTGAGCAGAGTTTCATTGCCACTCGTTTAATGAAATGTGCTGAAACTGCTCTGTAAAACAACCTCTCCCTCATTCTCCATGAAAAGGCCGTTCGGTCTGTTTTAGCCTGCGGGAGAATTCAGTGTCTGCAGGTCAAACGTGACCTTTAGTGACCTTGTTTGCAATCCCTTGTCTTTTATGCTGCTGCAACGCAAACATTTCCCAAATTGGGATCAATACAGTACTTTTATCTTAAATAACCTTCAGTTTCAAACATAGATAGTTTATAGAGATGGAAAACATGGCTATAACCCAAAAGTGAAGAATATTCCTGCTGGTGAATAACTCCATGTTAGCAGACGGGTCGAATATAATGTCAAAAACATTTCTCCAATAGGTAGTTTCTGCCATTTTAGGTAGTTCTTATCACATAATGTAAGTTCAAGTGTTCATTTTTCGAAAAAGCTTGGTTTATTTAGTTATTTAATACTATAACAAGGAGATCAGACGTCACATAGCTTTAGGAATTGAACCTAGAGTTGTAAGGGATATGAGTTTTTCCTTTAACTTTCCATCACCTTGATTGTCTGTTATACAAACTAACTGCACTTAAAGGTAGGGTGGGTCATTTTGGAGAAAGCAGCTCGAGTGCGCTAGAATTTGAAAATACACAGCCGGAACAAATCTGCCACTTCCTCTCAGAGCCCCTCCTCCAACACACACGGACGCGCACATGACCAATGAGGGCACGAGGTAAGTGTGTGCCCAGATGGAAGGCTGACAGGCAGGTAGGCCATCCAGTTACTTTAGCCGGCTCAGATGATTGGTCGTGCTTTTTACAGAACTACGGCTTCCACAGATGATATTTCTTTATGTATTTATTGTCAAAGCACTTCAGATATTCATTGCTGTCGGGATGTTCAGAGCATTCCATCGAATATAACAACAAGAGTATCTCGAGCCGGTTTCTCAAACTTACCTACCCCACCTTTAATGATCTTTTTATGCAGTATATGGTTAGTACATTCACTTCTGAGAGTCTTGCCACCAAATGGCAAGATGGCGGCAAGTGTATTCTAGATATGTCGGCTTCATTTCGTGCAGGGGTAATATTTGGAGCATCTTCATATACTCTACAGTCTTAAGTAAAAACAAACGTTCTTTTCTTACCCAGGATAATTGGACTATACTTCCTATTTAAACACCCCTACTGGTTACCAATGGACCCCACTGGTATCTTTCATGCCCAATTACATTTGCCTTAAAACCCCTCATAGTAATCTTAAATATTCTTCCTCTGGTTCCTCTCTCTTCTATGCTGTGTTTTGTTTGACTCTCTTTGAATTGTGTTACTGTCTCTCCTTCTACCTCGCTCAGCCATCTTTTGTTTTACATCCTTCCTCAGCAGGTGGCCAACAATATGTTGAAGCCATTGAAAAATATTTTGAAACTGAGTGCAAGACAAATCCCAGTTGGAACAGCTGCCAGGTGGCGATTAACATATGGGCAAAGTATCCATAGCAGACCTCAGTGTGGATTCAAGAGATTATATGAACCGTTGAGTTCACTCGATGGGCAGATTTTGTGGTACCCCAGATAACCTTAAATTCAGTTTGAAGCACTATGGTTCCCCGTCTTTTATGGACTGTATAATTGCCTCGTAGCCATTGTTTCAACCTCCCTTTTATGATCCACCACTGCCTTTCTTAGAATACTTTTCCAATTCTCATATTATTTTATCTCTTTTTCCGCTGAACTGATTATTTTCTCACCCTTGTTTCCAGAACTGGTCAAGGTGTTGGAAAGGTTTATTTTTATTATCATTGGCACAGCTTGTAAACCGGAGACTATGTGAAGCAATAAACCTGTTGTTCCAGGAAGATATAAATTAATATTACAATGACGTTTAGTTTTAAAGACCGAATATTCTGTGCTAATGATGAAACACATTCTCAGTACCAACATCTCAAATACATATGCTTGGTCTCAGGCCAGATGAGGTCATGAAGTCATTTCAAAAACAAAATCCAATGGAAAAACCCCATTGGTTTTCAGTAGTGGGAACCTTTGCCAAGCTAATATCCGCGTTACAAGAATATATCATGTAAACTTCTGTAAACCCTCTTCTTCATGTCTCTTCTACATCAACATGTGTCCCCTGTTCTTCATGTCTCTTCTACATCAACATGTGTCCCCTCTTCTTCATGTCTCTTCTACATCAACATGTGTCCCCTCTTCTTCATGTCTCTTCTACATCAACATGTGTCCCCTCTTCTTCATGTCTCTTCTACATCAACATGTGTCCCCTCTTCTTCATGTCTCTTCTACATCAACATGTGTCCCCTCTTCTTCATGTTTCTTCTACATCAACATGTGTCCCCTCTTCTTCATGTCTCTTCTACATCAACATGTGTCCCCTCTTCTTCATGCCTCTTCTACATCACCATGTGTCCCCTCTTCTTCATGTCTCTTCTACATCAACATGTGTCCCCTCTTCTTCATGTCTCTTCTACATCAACATGTGTCCCCTCTTCTTCATGTCTCTTCTACATCACCATGTGTCCCCTCTTCTTCATGTCTCTTCTACATCAACATGTGTCCCCTCTTCTTCATGTCTCTTCTACATCAACATGTGTCCCCTCTTCTTCATGTCTCTTCTACATCAACATGTGTCCCCTCTTCTTCATGTCTCTTCTACATCAACATGTGTCCCCTCTTCTTCATGTCTCTTCTACATCAACATGTGTCCCCTCTTCTTCATGCCTCTTCTACATCAACATGTGTCCCCCTCTTCTTCATGTCTCTTCTACATCAACATGTGTCCCCTCTTCTTCATGTCTCTTCTACATCAACATGTGTCCCCTCTTCTTCATGTCTCTTCTACATCAACATGTGTCCCCTCTTCTTCATGTATCTTCTACATCAACATGTGTCCCCTCTTCTTCATGTCTCCTCTACATCAACATGTGTCCCCTCTTCTTCATGCCTCTTCTACATCAACATGTGTCCCCTCTTCTTCATGTCTCTTCTACATCAGCATGTGTCCCCTCTTCTTCATGTCTCTTCTACATCAACATGTGTCCCCTCTTCTTCATGTCTCTTCTACATCAACATGTGTCCCCTCTTCTTCATGTCTCTTCTACATCAACATGTGTCCCCTCTTCTTCATGTCTCTTTTACATCAACACGTGTCCCCTCTTCTCCATGTCTCTTCTACATCAACATGTGTCCCCTCTTCTTCATGTCTCTCCTACATCAACATGTGTCCCCTCTTCTTCATGTCTCTTCTACATCAACATGTGTCCCCTCTTCTTCATGTCTCTTCTACATCAACATGTGTCCCCTCTTCTTCATGTCTCTTCTACATCAACATGTGTCCCCTCTTCTTCATGTCTCTTCTACATCAACATGTGTCCCCTCTTCTTCATGTCTCTTCTACATCAACATGTGTCCCCTCTTCTTCATGTCTCTTCTACATCAACATGTGTCCCCTCTTCTTTCATGTCTCCTCTACATCAACATGTGTCCCCCTCTTCTTCATGTCTCTTCTACATCAACATGTGTCCCCTCTTCTTCATGTCTCTTCTACATCAACATGTGTCTCCTCTGTGGAAAGAGACTCTGAAAGTCTCAGGAACAAAGATTCTCTCTCTTTTTGATCCATTTCTATAAAAACCTGTCTGAAAATGAGCTGATCAGATTTGGTCCACTTTATGATGTCATAACGATGTGTTGTCTTGTGTAACCATTAGCCAATCAGCAACCAAGGTAACCCCCCCCCCCCCCCCCTTATCACCTGAACCTCCTCCTAGAGCACCATTGAGTTCTTTGTAACCAAATGTCTCTCAGAGGGGCGTGGGGAGGGGCTCCTTATTTTCATCTAAAGTAACAGACAGAGAATCAGCACTTTGGAACAGGGCTGAAACAGAGGGGATTATGGGTAATGCTGCAATGATGTGTTTGGTGTTTCAGCCAATCAGAGACAGGCTCTGGATATATCTGAGACCTGTGATATATTGATGATAAACAGTATAATAGGAGACCTTTAAAGCAAAGAGACCCCATAATAACCCCCATCCTCTGACCTTGGGCTGCTGGTAGTGCTCCATAGACATGGTGATGACGTTCAGGCCGATGATGATGCTGATGAAGAGGTCCAGGTAGGTGCTGGTACACAGCTTGTGGATGAGCAGGCGAGTGGGGGAGTAATCTGAGTAGTAAGGCTTACTCTGAGCTTCTGTTGGAAGTGGGATATAGTGGGGGGGAAGAGGTGAAGGTAGCGGGGGTAAGAGGAGGAGGAGGATGAGGGGGAGGTGGCGTTCAACAAATGAGATAGGACGTAATACACTGGGAAACGTTACAGTAGAATTGCGGTGTTGAAGACTCCGAAGCTGCTTTCAAAACAAGAAGGTTAGTGAAACATAACTCCTGTCACTCAAGATGGCGGACTCACATTAAGAGATAAGTACAGAGAGATGTGAGGAGACGGAGGGAGGCGGAGCAGATAACGGAGAGAGAGAAAAAGAGACTCCAGCCAGGTCAGATTGTTTCATTCAATTGAAGTCAGTTAGTCAAACAAACCCTGTATCATAAGCATTGTGCCTTTCCTACCTCACCCCTTCATCCCTTCCTCTTCTTACCTCATCTTTACACACATCCCTTCATTCCTTCCTTCATCCCTCCCTACTTCCCTTCTTACATCTAGCAATGCCTTCCTCCCTTCCTTGCTACATTCCTTAATCCCTTCTTCGCTACATCCAATTATTCATTCATCCTTCCCTTCCTACATCTAGCAATTCCCTCATCTCTTCCTTCCTACCTTCATTTGACCCGTCATCTCTCCCTCCTTACTTCCCTTCCTACATCTAGCAATGCCTTCATCCCTTCCTTCCTACATTCCTTAAACCATTCATCCTTTCACTCAATCACCTCCTAAATCCCTTCCTCCCTACCTCCCCTTCCATCTATCACTGCAAACCTCCTTCCCTAAATAATTTGACCCTCTCTTCCTTCCTCCCTACACCCCTTTGACCCTTCATCCCTCCATCCCTATTCCTTCCCTACATCCTATAATTAATTCATCCTTCCCTTCCTACATTCAGCAATTCCTTCATCCCTTAAAACATTCACCCATCTAACACAGCTTACCTTCCTTCCTTACTCCCCTTTGACCCTCCCTTCCTTCCTACAGTCCTTCATCCGTTCATCCATCCTTCCCTATCCCTTCACCCCTTCTTCCTAGGCCTCTTCCTGACAGATACCCTCCCCCATCCTCATGCACCCCCTACACTAATTACCTCCAGTAATTAAGTCTTGAATTGACATATTGTTGTGGCACACACCTTGTTAGTGACCTCTACTCTGAGAGAGGACGTTTGCAGGTAACAAGGATTGCCCGATAAGTGTGTAAGTGTGTGGAAACGATATTCGGCCATCTCTCCTCTCTCTATAATCATTACCTGCCTCCCTTTATCTCTTCCACTCCTCTCAGGAAAAAAGATCACATCACAGGAGAAACCTTTTCTCACACTCATCCATCACTTCCATCCAGAGAGGAGGGACAGATGGATGGATAGGGAGTGAGGACGAGGGAGAGAGAGGACGCTCACTCACTCCACCAGTGAAGGAGAGGCTGGAGGTCCCACGGGGGAAATGCAGCCGGTCCTTTTGGGCGTTTCCACCAATCCCAATCTGCCCAATTAGCCCAGGTGTGCTGTGCTGGAAACACTCCCATGAGAGTGCATGTGTGTGTCTGGAGTTTTCCCAATAGAGGCGGGAAAACCCTCATAGATCAGGGAATAGGTGAGGAGAGAAGAGTACACACAATCCACTGACTGAATAACTTTCCTTCCCTATTTTAAATGGGGCGAAACCTGCGAGCTAGTTCAGGCAGTCAACTCGAGCACCAACATTAACACGTGACGCGCCTCGACCAACCAAACACATTCTCCTAAACATGCCGCTCTATTTAAGCTGCCAGGTCTTCCTGCCTCTGCCTCGCTCATGCTGCTGCTGCTACGTTCACTTGCTACTGCTACGTTCATGTTGCTACTGCTACGTTCATGTTGCTACCGCTACGTTCTGCCGCTACGTTCATGTTGCTGCCGCTACGTTCATGTTGCTACCGCTACGTTCATGTTGCTGCCGCTACGTTCATGTTGCTGCCGCTACGTTCATGTTGCTGCCGCTACGTTCATGTTGCTGCCGCTACGTTCATGTTGCTACCGCTACGTTCATGTTGCTGCCGCTACGTTCATGTTGCTACCGCTACGTTCATGCTGCTACCGCTACGTTCATGTTGCTGCCGCTACGTTCATGTTGCTACCGCTACGTTCATGTTGCTACCGCTACGTTCATGCTGCTACCGCTACGTTCATGTTGCTGCCGCTACGTTCATGTTGCTACCGCTACGTTCACTTGCTACCGCTACGTTCATGTTGCTACTGCTACGTTCATGTTGCTGCCGCTACGTTCATGTTGCTGCCGCTACGTTCATGTTGCTACTGCTACGTTCATGTTGCTACCGCTACGTTCATGTTGCTGCTGCTACGTTCATGTTGCTACTGCTACGTTCATGTTGCTACCGCTACGTTCATGTTGCTGCTGCTACGTTCATGTTGCTACCGCTACGTTCATGTTGCTACTGCTACGTTCATGTTGCTGCCGCTACGTTCATGTTGCTGCCGCTACGTTCATGTTGCTGCTGCTACGTTCATGTTGCTGCTGCTCGTCTGCCCCAGCTTCCACCTGTAGGCTAGGGGATAGTTATCTAATCATCACTCAATGTTCTTTGTAATCTGTGGAGTGATGAGGCCCGAGCCTAGACGCCAAACTCAAACTATATGCTGCTTATAATAAACATATTCAGTTGTCTGACTGAAATATGTTTCTGCATTTCTTGGGGATTGAAATTGAGCTCTTGCATTAAACCCTATCGCAGACTTACTACAGTATTTAGTTTGTTGTTTAACTGATGCATCTGCTGCCGTGTTATCATTCCCCAAAAAAAGAAAAAGCACCTTTATGAATAATGGATCCCCTCTCTTTGCTCACCAGTCACCGATAGGCCGTATCGACATGACCTGCGATTGATGTCCTCCTAAAACAGTTTAGCCATGATAAATTATGATGTGTTAAAATACCAATAGGAAAGACTGTCTAGTTTGGATTCTTGTGCTTCCGCTTAAACAAGGAATCACAGATTTTGAACATATAAAGCAGGGGGGTCAAACTCAAGGCCCGGGGGCCAAATCCGGCCCGCGAGTTCATTTAATGCGGCCCCACAAGAGCTTGCAAATAATATAATATGTTTATTATACGGTTAGATGACGATTTACAGAAGCACGTTGTACATAAACTACATGTCCCAGAATGCATCTCAAATTAGACTTTTTTTCTCAAAATGTGCCCTTTTCCCAGAATTTGACTATTTTTTTTAAATGTTACTTTTTTTAAATATCACTTCCTTTTTTTTTTTAAATGTCACTTCCTGTTTTTTACTTTTTTTCCAGCTTTTCTTTTTAAATCATTTTGTGACATCCTCACTGAAGATAATTGCAATTATTAGCTCCAGACTTCTGCTTTCAGACGTAGTTAATTATGAAGTTGTTACCCTATCAGATAATAATCCAATGCAGAGGCAACAATGTAAAATAATACATTATTTTATATATATATTTATATATAAGTTACAACCGGCCCTTTGAGTGCAGCCATTATGCTGATGTGGCCCGTGATTAAATTGAGTGTGACCCCCTGATATAAAGGGTGGGTGCCCAATACTTTTTGGGGAGTATATCATTTATGGTTTGACATTATGATTGTTTATTCTTTAGATATATATTTTCTACTGACGATATGTCTATATTTGTTGTATTTTACTTAATGTTGTAGATTTTTAAACCAACTTGCCTTGTTTACATGCTGCTGTAACTAAACTATTTCCCAATTAGCGATCAATTAAGTATATCTGATCTAATCTTATCTAATTCAAAAGCTACATTGTGTGTAATGTACCTTTCCCATCGGTTAATCCTGTAATATTCACCAACGGACTCCTCTGAGTTTCTACTTTACATAGTGATACCCGTCTTACTAAGTTATATTTCCTTCATATTTGCTGTTTGTCATTGAAACTCATGAAAATGTTGATCTATGAGCTGCTGTAAGTGAAACTACTGTGCAGAAAGTTCAATCTGAATCCAATAACAGCATTGTTATTAAGTTAAGATTGTTTCATAATCAGTTATTGAAGTAACTTTAGGAAAAAAGACCCGTGAATGAGCAAGAACTGACGATGTTTGGCAGAGTCCTGCACCGAGCTTCACATTAATTATTCTACGATTGTTTTCAGGTCCTCTTTGCTGAAAGCTAATCCTACGCCTGCTGGTAATTATTGATATTGACAACAGGGGGGTTGAACCTGAATACTGGAGGTAACATCTGAACCACAGGAGAACCTCTGCTGGAGTTTGACTGCTGCTGAGATGTGCGTGCCACAAAGTGAAAGATAATGTGGCTTCTGGAGTCTGACTTTTCAAACAAATGCACTCAGACGAGATGACACCTGTGTTCCCCTTCGCTGCAGAAACACTTTCTCATCATGTCAGCTGCTTTTCTTATTGACAAGGCTTTTACTTTTTCACCATATGGCCCATGGAGAAGACAGTGATAAAGCAGCTTTAAAGCACCTTTGGGTACGTCTGGGCAGATGTCTTTGAATTAGGGCAGTAAGGTGCAACCCATGTGGGATGCACCATGTTCTCTGGGAGTTCCTATTTACGAGACCCTCTATCATCTCTGGATGAGCCCACATTAGTTTCACTCTGTTCTACTTACTGTCTGCAGGTGCACAGATAACACTAGTCCCTTTGTTTCCCCTCATTCATCTTCCAGAGGCCACAATATTATTATGTTGCTGCTTTGTTTTAGTAGATCAAGTCATATCTTACACTGCGATTTCTAGTCTTGTTTGTTATACCTGTCTTAGTCTATTGTTTATGATTTGTTGTTGTTTTCTTTGCATTGTTTGTGTTCTGATTTTACGTAAAGCGTCTTTGAACATTAGGAAAAGCGCTATAAAAACCCCATGTATTATTATTGTTATTATAATAAGACCCCAGGAAGTGCGCCAGCTAATTTTGGAGTGGCCAAACGGCGGTACTACAACTTATGTGTCAGTCCGTGACTTCATTGGGCCCAAAAAGTATTTTTCACATTGACTTACATTGGGAAATA